AATAAAAATAATAAATTAATTAATTATCCAAACCTTTTAATTTTTAAGTACCTTTATAAATAATATTATAACCTTTACATAATCATTCCAAATCTTATACTTTAACACGTATATACTTAAATAACTTTTTAAAATATTATATATATCTTAAATTATATACTTAAATTATTATATAATTTTAAAATAAGGTTTTAATACAATTTAAATAATTAATTATTTTAATTTAATAAATTTCTTTTTATTAATTATATTTATTTTTAATATATATATACACGTTTAATTCCTTTAAATAAATCTTTTATAAGGCTTTAATTATTTTTTACATTATTTAAAAAGAAAGAAGGTAATTATTTAAAATTAATATTATTAACAATTAATTCCTTAATAAAATTCTTACCTTTATTATTACTTTCAATTAAGATTTAAGTAAATTGGATAATCTTTTATAATTTTAAATTTAAAATATTTAAAAAAAAGGTTTAAATTAAACCTTAAATTTCTTATATATATTGATATTATTAAGATTTATCCACTTTTAAAATTAATAATTTTAAACAAATAATATAAACATTTTATTTTATATATTTTAATTATTAAAATATTTAAGTTTAAAACTTAATAATAATATAGTAAAATTTATAATAAAATAAATAAATAAATAATAATTTATTTAAAATTTATTTTAACGCATACATATTATATTATATAACATTAACTAAGATTTTATCCTTAAAACTTATATAATTTAAACATATAAAATTCTTAATTATTACATAATTAATACATATTAAATAAACGTTATATAAGGTTTAATTTATTATATTTCTAATAATTTAATTAATTAAGATAAAATTGTAAAAACGTATATTACACCGTTATTTTATATAAGATTAAAGATTTTCAGGTTACTTAACATGGCTGACTAATCTGACAGTAGCATTTAAGATTATAATATTAATATCTTTAATATTTTCAAAAAATACACCACCGCCTTAATAAATAACCTTAACCTATTTAAATATATTTATCTTATCTTATTTAACTATTTTTAACATAAAAATTTCAATCTATTTAATAAAACCTAAAATAAATACGTATTTTTTAAAATTTATTTATTCTTAAATATTAAATTATAAAGCATTTCACTTCATTTTTAATATTTAATACAAATAATTATACTTAATATTTAAAAAAAACTATAAAAATTAAAAAAATAGTTTTAAACAAATTTTTGCTGTATAAATCCATTATAATAATATAAAAATAAAATAACTATTCCGATAATTTTATAATAAAAATAAAATAAAATAAATATTTACACTTATTATTATATAATTATAATAAAACTTAAACGTAAATTAAGTTTATAATTATTAAAAAACTATTAATATTATTTAAATATATATAATAACTTAAATATTATTAAAAGGTTTATTTTTTTCTAATATAAAATGCGAAAAACACATCCTTTTTATAATTAATATTTATATAATAAAAGTGGTTAATGCTTTAACTATTTATAGCCGGTGTGGTAACTACGCCACACCTATAACTATAAGGCCCGTATACCGTGTAACATATAATCATTTGGTTTTAATTATACTTTTTAATAATTAAAATTATAATTAATAAACTTATATCTTTAATATTATCGTTATTTAATAAATTTTTATTTTTTACTTATTAATTATTTTATAATATTTTAAATTATACTATTTTATTATATTTATAATATTTTTTTATAATTAAAATATTTACCTTTTTAAAAATTAATAAATTTAAAATTACTTTTATAATTAATTATATTACAAAAAATCTTAATCTTACACGTTTTTTTCCTTTTAAAAAAATAATTTTAATATCTTATAATATATTTTTTATACTTATAAATATTAAACTGGTGCTAGTGTATTAAGTGACCTTGACCTTGATCATGTGATTATATTCTTAGTATAAGTACCATTTATAGTCGCACACACCCATTTTACATAATATCATCCACTTTTAATACAAGTCATTCCTTTCTTTCATTAGTTTCATCATTTAAAAGTCCTTGATATCAGGTTTAATAAGGCTTGATCTAAAGCTAAGACGTTTAAATCTTATTTAATAACAACCCTTAACAATTTAAACCTATAATACCAGTTTTAAAAAAACTATTGTTATTATTAAAAATACCTTATTATAATTTAATTAATAATTATTATAAGGCTTATAATAACTTTATTAATACCTTTAACCGATAATTTAAATATAAGTTAAATAACTTAATTAAATAATTTAAACTTTATATTAATTATATTAATTAATTTAAAAATATTTTATTTATTAATTAATTTAATTATATTTTAATATATTAATTAATATATATAATATAATATAACCTTATTAAGAACTTTATTAAAAGTTTTATTTATAATTTTATTAATAATTTTAATAATTATATTATTTATTAATTAAATTAATATGATTTTTAAAATACCAATATTTTTATATCTTAAATTAAAATATATAAGATATAATATAATTTAAGAAATATTATTATATTAAGATTTAATTATAAGTTAGTTTTAAAATATGTAAAAGTTATAATATATTTTAGTTAATTAAATATTAAAAGATAAAAAGTGGTTTTATTAAATGCGTAAAAGATATAAAGATAAAGTTAGCGAGAGTATTAATAATTACCACGTTTAAGGTTATATTTTAAGTTATTTAAAAATAATATATAATATTTTTTAAGTTATATTATACTTAGTATATAAAACGATTAATTATAAGAAGTTAATAATAAAAGAGGCAAAGGCTTAACCAGTTAGTTAATTAATAAGTCATTAAGTTTATTATAAAAAAAGCAAGCCAACCAGTTAATTAATAAGTTACTAGGTTTATTACAAGGGAGGCAAAAGCTTAATTAATATTAAAGCTTATTTAAGTTAATATTAAGATATTAAAGGAGGTAAATAGTTTAATTACGAGGGTTATTTACGAAAATTATACAATACCGGGATAAAAGAAGGAATAAAATTAATTAAATTTATTATAAAAGAGGTAAAGTTATATAATAATCTTTATATTATAATCTTTATATATATTTAATTTAATAATAAATATTATAATTAAATTTATTATTATATAATTTTATATGGTTAAGGAATATAATTTAATAATATAAGATATTTAATTAATGGATTTTAGTTAGGTTAATTAAATTATACGGCATATAGATTTATTTAAGATATGATTTAAGACTTAATAATATTTAAGATATTAAAAAGGCTATACCATAAAGTTAATGATTAATAACTTTAATAGCTTAAGTAATGCGAAAATTTTTTTTTTAAGGCTTAGGATTTAATCCTTACTCGTATTATTTTATTTCTTTTTTTTTCAGGTCTTAACCCTTGTTTCGTGGGTTGAATTTAATTTTATAGCCTTAATAAAATTTAAAGGAAGGTTATAAATTAATGCTGGTGTATTAGGTAACTTTAACCTTAATTATGTAATTATATTTTTAATATAAGTATTATTTATAATTGCATATATTTATTTTATATAATATTATTTACTTTTAATATAAGTCATTCCTTTCTTTCATTAGTTTCATCATTTAAAAGTCCTTGATATTAGGTTTAATAAGGTTTAATTTAAGGCTAAGACATTTAAGTCTTATTTAATATTTATTTTAATTTAAATATTTTTTTAAATATTATAAATTTATAATTATAATTTATATTAATTTTTTTTAAATTTAAATATATTATAAATATAAATTAAAAATTTCTTTTTTTAATTAATTTTTTATTAAATTTAATGTTAATATTAATTTATTTTTTTTATTTTAAATTATATTAATTATTAAATTATAAATAAAAAATTTATTATTTTATAAATTAAATTAATTTAATTTATATTTTATATTATTAATATATATAAATTTTTCTTTTATTATATAAAATAATTTTTTATTAAATTAAACATTTTTAATAAAAATAATTTTTTTTAATAAAAAATTTATATATAATATATATTAATAACCTTATAATTAATTAAATATTTTATATATATTTTTAATTAAACTTTTTATCCTTATTTATCTTTTATATTAATTATATTATAATTTAATAAATATATATATAATTTTAATATAATTTTAAATTATTTATAATTATTTTTACCACCTTTAAAATATATTATTTAAAATATTAATAAAATTAATTTTTTAATATTTTAATTAATAACTTATAATTATTTCTTTAATTAAAATTTTAATTTATTAAATAAATTACTACCTTTATATATTTTAATTATATTTCCTTTAACAAATTAATATTTAATTATATTTTAATAAACTTAATTTAAAGTTTTTAATTTAATTTTTTAATTTTATTAATTAATTTTTTAATTATTAATAATAATAATTTTAAATTTAACCTTTTTTTAAATATTTATTAATTATATTAAATTATTTTTTAAATATTAAATATTAAAATATTATTATTATATTTTAACTTATATATTAAACTAGTGCTGGTGTATCAGGTGACCTTGACCCTGATCATGTGATTATATTCTTAGTATAAGTACCATTTATGGTCGCACACACCCATTTTACATAGTATCATCCACTTTTAATACAAGTCATTCCTTTCTTTTTCATCAGTCATCATTTAAAAGTCCTTGATATCAGGTCTAATAAGGCTTGATCCAAGGCTAAGACGTTTAAGTCTTGTTTAATATTTAAAAAGATATATTAAATTAATTAATTATATTAAGTAATTTAAAAATTTTTAATTTTATGTAAAATAGCGGTGTAATACGCGTTTTTATAATTTTACCTTAATTAATTAAATTATTAGAAATATAATGAATTAAACCTTATATAACGCCTATTTAATACGTATTAGTTGTGTGACACATCTCCACTAAATAGTCTTGGATATCCTGGTGACCTGTAAATGCATGCTTAAGTCACATAAATAGGTACCTATGTACATGTACATATATATCCAAACCCAGTGGACCCTAATCCCTGTACTTTTGAGGAACATTACAGCGCCCACGCGAAAGCTTTCAATACCTACCTACATCATCACACCACGCCCGCACGTTTAATGGTCCAACATGTCTTCTCAAGCTGAACCAAGCGGAGATCCATGGGATAAAGATACGAAGCGCAAGTTTGAGAAGTAGGTCTATGGTAATTTTAAGCTTAATTGGCATTTGTTAACTGAGGTTACGACAGTAAATCCAAGAGCGAATTCTTCGATCCTTGTCAAGAGGCGGCAGCGAAAAGTATCCGATGTCTGAACCGGAATGGAGGAGATAGGCAAATGTGCACCGACTATTTTGAGTGAGTGCCTCCCCAGGGTATGAGAGTGATAATGAGATCGGGGGACGAATGTAGAAAATATGGCCATACTAATGTGAGACTCCGCCTAGGGCATACCGTGCCTGTAAAAAGGAATGGGTAAGAGAACTTATAAATCTACCTCAGGCTTATCAATATTTCTAACCTAGTTTCTGGAAGACCAATAAAAGGAAGAGGGAAGGTGGAAGCATCTTCTTTGGTCCATAGTCTAGACTTGAGGTCTACATGAAAGTCTTGAATGCGGGCAGACATTTCCACCTGTGCAATATCAATTGATATTTGGGGCCTGAGCTGGTTTATAGTTTTGCTACCTTTGATTACCTCTGAGGTACCTACCTAGGTACCTATATAAGGAATATTTGTAATAATAGCTGTAAAACAGAGGACACAAAGGCTACGTGCATGTAAAAAGAATATGGGGGTGTAATTCACATAAAAATGTATATGCCGTAGGTTAGGTTGTAATGGATTTACGTCGATTACTAATCCCCGAGAACTGTAGCGTGAATTGGGGCCTACATGTAGGTACTAATGAACGTAACATGGCAGGCGCTAGTGTATCTAGGTACCTAACCTAAGGTATTACCATCTTTATATAGGGCAAGTGCACAGGCGAGTGTTACTGTCACAGGCGGGCGCACTAATGCACACCGCCTACCAATTTCAATAATTAGAAGGAACCCTAATCCACTTCAGCGGCAGAATGCTAATACGAACAATGGGGGGGGGGGGAATGCTGAGGCAGGGTGCTTTATAGATGCTATAGACAACATGCAACAATCATAAGCACATTCACGATGGCCCGGTAACATTAGTCCAAACGACGTAAATATCGGTCTTCGGTCTTCGGTCTCCTACGAGACGATTCATACATGCAACTTGCAATGATACCCCACTGTCATTTATTCCTCTCTCTGAAGACCCTCACCTTAAAACCTCACATTTAGAAGCTCTTGCAACAACTTACCTACCTAACCTATCTAACTTACCTGACATAAAAGTAGATGCCTGGGAGGTAGGTTTTAGAGTCACCACCACAAAAGGAAAGTTGCAGAAATAAAACATACCACCACAATTTAAAAACAAAACTTACCACTACCACATTCGCCATGAAGCCTCCCTTAATACCTCCCACCCCGAGGCCCATCAATCTCAAACCCACCGGCCCCGTTAGTCTACTGACTGCCTTCGCCGAAGAGCAATGGACCACCACTGCAAATTTAGCAAGGCAGCGTTATAGAACTACAAAAGACCCGTACTATTTAGTAAGCCATGTATGCTTTCTGTTACCTGTACCGTAGCTAACCTCTTTCTAGGCCGTCGAGATTGCTGCTAAATCTCAGAGTGACAATGTTGCCGACCGTAGTGCGGGAAAGGTCGAAGTTGAGAGGATGATTAAGGACAACATTACCGTATCTGATGTCGATACGCTGGACTTGTACGAGTTTGCCTGCTCTCGGATCGATATTAAGTATTCAGAAACCATCGGCGTGCTCCGCGCAAGGCTGGTGAAGACCCTTCCGAAGGACCAGAAGTCTTGCACTCGATGTTTCGATGCTTGTGTCTGGAATTCGGATTGGAAGAATGCTCAACAGGTAATCTCCTTCTATGCTCCCGGATATCAAACTTATCAACTGACCTATATAGATTGCAGCAACGTTGAACAAGAACTTTGCCAGCGACCGAAAGTTCTTATTTCGGTATATACTAGCCACCCATCAGTACTCTGTAAGACTTTACTCTCGCGGCCTGTCTATTTTTGAGCCTAATTTTCTGACCTGAGTAGTTGTCCGATGAATGCCCCGAGGGTAGCAGAAAGATCTTCGCGTCGCTTGCAAAAGCGCAGGCCGACAAAGCCTTTGACCTCCGGACTATGGTAAGAATTCGATATAGAAAATTCAGTTATGGAGACAAACGCTGATTATTAGTAATTATTAGACTTCTGGTAACGACGATCGTGTCATCTATAATGAATCCGAAGCCTGGCTGTGGCTGAATATTCGAATCAGCCATTGTAGCCCAAAAGAAAATTTAGAGCTTTTTAGGAGGCCCGAGTATAGCCCCCTAGCATTCCTCAAAGCTGGCCAACAGGAACCCTACTGGATAGCTCTAAGTTATCTACAGACCTACTGCGCATGGGATGACATCTTTCAAATCGGAAAGGAGGTTTTAGAAGAAGCCACTCGTATAGCCCAGACCGAAGCTTCGACCATCGAAGACAACGAAAATGTTATTAGCTTGCGGAAGCTAGCAGAAACTGAATCTAAGGACTCGTCAGCCAAGAAAGACTTGGTTCGGGCTATAGAAAAGGCTAGGCCTTCGCGGACCTTGAAGGACCAATCTTACATATCTGCAAGCTGTGAATATGGGCTGTTTACAGCCATTTTTCAAGCGGCCAAACGCCAGCCCGACAGGAAGCGGTAAGTTTATCCATTCCACACATAGAATCGTCAATATTAACATCACCTCAGAGCCCTTAAACAGGTTCGCCAGTTGGTCGATAAGATGATTAAGGCATTAACCCGAGCAGAAAGCATGAAGCCTATTTTCCAAAGAACGCATAGCATTCTCTCTCTATCCATCCTCATCGCACGAGAATCGCCAGCCGACCCGGAATCTGATGGCTATACTACGCGGGTCATTAACCTCACGAATCATGTTATTCAACATTATAACGAGTCTCGCTGCCTCGCCGAAGCGCTATCGTTTATACCTGAGCTGAGCAAGCTAGAGGTTGCCGCATTTATTACATCTCTTCGTGCTACTAGCATCAAGGTAACTACTAAACTCTACTAGTATTCATACTGTACGATGTTACTGACCTTGACATCTCAGTGCGATGATACCTTACAACGCTTCATGTTAACATCCTTAAGCTTGAGGATCCGATATGCAGTGGCAACAGGCAGCATACTTGGCTGTGTATTTTGCAATGAAAGAATTGAACGGGGGACCTGTGCATTTTGTCTCAAGTCCATCGCAATTAATGCCCTCGACGCGTACAAGGCAGGCATGGAAGATGACGGCTTTCGCCAGAAGGTTATATCTAGTCAAAGCGAGAACCCTTTCTCAGATATTGCAGTAATCGGAGCTGTATGCCTATTAAGGCTCTCAGGGCTTGCTACCGAATCTCCGCCGATGGGAACTAACTCTCTATACCGTGCGAACATCCAACTGTTCCTGCAAGCGGTCATATGGCTAGAATCATGCTTAACGACGTCGCCATCTGTTAGCAGTACGCACCGTATTTTGCTTGTTAAGCTGTACCTTCTCATGGGTTGTGTGTCCCGGGCCAAGGTTCTGTGGGATCGCTTTGATGTTAAAAATGCCCTCCTGGATTCTCTAGGTCTTCTCTTCGTCGATCGGATATCATCTATCGCCCCAGGGCTGTTCATCACGGGCTCCAGTCGCGATAATCCTATCGAACCTTTCCTTGTACATTTCACAAGGGGACTTATGACTACTACCGCCAGAAGAATTATGGATTCTCTGGAAATGGGAACTTATTCCAGCATTCAGGAAATGATCCGGCATGCCGAAAAACAAACCGCAAGCTGCACTCTTGTTATAGCCGTCGTGGAAGAACGCCGAGGCCTGCGAATGAAAGCAGGAAAGATCGAGGCTCCCATAGAAGATCAGCCTCTTGTCCGTATGTTTTTCCTTGTCCGATGCTAAGAAGATTTGAAAATGCTGACTAGACAGGGAAATTGATGCCTGGCCATATGATCCGAGACATCACCGACTACGGAATCTTTGCAGTCCCAGATAGTGAAACATCGCAACCCATTCCTGCTTTGGTCAACTATGGACCGCTCCCAACAGTTTGTGATTTTTGATATCATGTTTGTGAACTAGATACTAATCGTGGCATTAGGGTGGTCGCGCTCATGCGGGGTTAATAGCCGAGCGCTTTCTTGACTTTATCTGCTACGTACAGCCAAAGGAGTACAAGCCGTCGAAGGCAGGCCAAGTTGCACAAACCGACTGGAAATATGCATTTGCTACTAGTTCCCATCTGGAGGAGGAAATGAGAGCTCTCTTAGCCATCGGTGACAAGGGGCTCCCGGAAGACGAGAAAATCAAGCTAGGAAAGCTACAAGAATCTGTACGGGGTTCTTTCACGACGCCCGAGTATTGGTATTATGGGGTTATATGGAGACTCGCGAACGCGATGAAGAACATTCTCAAACATGGTTTTCTCTCGGCATCTACCAATGAAACCCGCGATTTTAATCGCTTCTTTATCAGGGGTATTTTAGACAGCCTTGAGGGCCAAACCAAAGATTTCTTAGAAGTACCTGAGAATATCCACTCTAAGATTTACGCTTTCCACGGCTTTGCAGCTCTCCATGCTATGGGCATGTTACGCGAATCGATTCTAGCCGTCAAGTATACAACAAACTACCTTACGAGCATCTCTGAGAAACTCAAGAATACTGATAAATCTCGCGCATCGGCTGAACTCGCGTGGCTTGCGCCCGAACTTAAGAAGATGGCAGCCGCAGCCGTCGAGTCGGAGAACACGATCAAAGCTCGCATTAAGCTGCTTAAGGACTACCTGTGCAATGTGGACGGCTGGAGAGATCGACTATGCGACTGGGTGTTTGGCGATTACACTGCGGTTTATGATGACGACCCAGAATTCAAGAAGGAGGTAGCTAGCAAGATTAGAGCTGTCATCCCGAAGGCGAACGGTGAACTATGGGCTGACAAGGTTGGAGAATCTTGGCGTGAGCTCATGAAGGGTTGGACTGCCGTCAGGTTCGACTGACCTTACCCCCTGTCCTGTTCATCTCAATGTTTACTACGATCGGGCTTCACTCTATTGCCTCGAGGGTTCTAATTACGGTTCCGAAACATTTCTGCATATCTCTATTCACCTCCTTTATATCTGAGTGGCATTCTTCGAAAGCTTGGAGATCATGTATAGGTCCAATATGGTTTCTGGATCTTGACATTTGAGCCGGAGAAATCTTGTGAATCAAGGATATCTAAAGGGGTAGACCTGGGAGTGAAGATATGGAAGGGAGGGGATAGAGTCTTAACTCTAGCCAACGTATTTTTAGGCATAATGCGGTATTGCTACAAGGCCATGCATAAAAGTTGCGATAGCTTGTACAGATACTTGCGGTTGTTAATAGGCAATACATAAGTAACCATACATTCATAATATAGACGATACCGCCATTCAAGATAGGTACTCCGCAACGTAACTAATCCACTGAAGAAAAAAAAGGGTATCTTCCATGCCTTCATATCTCTCTGTCTAGCAGTCTTTCAATCCAATTTGCAAGCCTTAACCCGATGCTGCGGATATGCTAACAAACCTCTGCCTATGCCCATGCCCATGCCAAAATATGCTTCTAAAGAACCCGCCACACAATACAACATGGATGAAATAGGGAGAAAATAAAGCTACCGCAAGTGAGGGCTCAGGATATGGACTCGGAAAGCCACGCACGTCGAAATGTGAATAGTGCATTTGTTTATCCACGTTCGCAAGCATGTCACAACCGACTTCCCTTGCCCTTACAGTCTTCAGCCCATTTACCGCAAAACCCCACTACCACTGCTACTCCCCCTCCTCTTCTTTCGGGAGAGAAAGGTCGCAGACTCTTCCTTCAGCGTGACCCAGACCCAAAACCAACTAAGAAACTCGAGGAAGGCAAACGTGAAGAAGACGCGGTTGCGCAGGCCGTCGCTACCGCCAGCTACGGCGCCGGGGATAAATGCGGAGGGAGGTGTTAGGGGGTGCGATAGGCGGTTTGCTCCGGACCGGCCGGCGGTTGGCGTCGAGAAATATGCGAATAGCGATAGCGAGGCGAATACGATGATGCGGAGAGGCGCTTGTGCGCCCCAGTAGTGGATCAGCCATACTTCTTCGGGGAGGGAGAGGGTGAGTAGGTCGGAAAGCCCGATTACAAGGAGCAAGACGCCGAGGAGGGAGGATACGGCGTTGGGATTTGCAAAGGCGGTTGTCTGGGGCTGTTGGAGAGTTGGTTGTTAGTGGTTTTGATCGCTAGGCACTTGTTGGTTGCGATGGAAGGGTATAAATGGGGAAGAGCTTACCATGCCCATGGCTTCGCCTAACACGTAGACGAGAGCCTGGTCGGAGATGGCATTGGGATTCGTGTAGAAGAAGTAGGCTAGGGTGATGTGGAAGAGGCAGAGGGATGTCAAGATGGTCTTGACTGATATGAGCGCCATGGTTGGGTTTCCCGTTCTTGACGGTTTATGGTGGATCGTTTCGTAAGGTGGTGTTGGTCTTTGGGACGATATGGATGCATCCACAGTAGGTAGATACCTTTTAACCTAGGTAAGTGTTCTTATTCGAAACGAGCATCGACGATAATATTCTGTTCTTCGTTGGCGGAGAGATAATTGGGGAACAAGGAACGAGAGCGGGAATGGTACAAATTCCATACACGTCGACAAGAGTCTAACGATCGTCGCGTGACGAACTCAACGGAACGGCGGCCGTCCTGCGACACGCATGTAGAAAGAATCCTTGGGTTCTTGGGTCCTTGGGTTCTTGGGTCCTTGGATCTTGGAGGGGTCGTCTTGTGTCAGGTTCGGACATGGAAAGAGGGAAATGGTGCAGATGATGGCGGCCATGCAATGCCAATTCATTCCCGTTTTCAGGGACCAGGATTGTTGGGTTTTGGGTAAGTTATCGTGCTTATCTTTATCGCTTATCGCGGGAGCTTACTAAATGCATCTGAGTTAGGTACAACATACCTACATAAGGTACCTACCTCACTAGAGGCAGAATCGTGGCTCCCTTCGCAGCCACATGGATGGAGGGGCAGGCAGGGCTACTATGGTTGCAGGCAAAAGTAAAACTGCCTTATTAGGTACCTGTAAAGCAAGCTAAACAAAACACCATACTATTTTGGTACTAATTTGTTATAAATATCTTAAAAATACATACTCGAAAAAAGATTTATTTAATATAGTTATTTTTTTTATATTAATATTATTCCCATATATTTATTTTATTTTTTATATTAATAATATCGATAATATAATTTAATTAAAAAGTATATATATTATTTAATTAATTATTAAATAACGTTAACGCATTTATACACTTTATTATAATTATAATCTACTTTATAATAAAATTAAAAAAATTATAAAATATTTAAAAAATTAAATCATTAAAACTTATTAAGTTAAAACCGTTACTTTTAAACTTCGATTAAATTGTTTATAGTTTTTAACCTTTTAATAAAAATAAAAACTTATTAAATTTATTTATACCTCGAAAAAAAATCATTGTATAACCTTTCTCAAATTATTTTTAATTTTATTTAACGTTATTTTTAACTTATATATTATTGTTGGTAGGTACGTACGTAAATAGGAATAACAATAATAACGATAAAGTAATAGTAAATAAATCAATAGTGTTGAGATTGGTGTATTGAGATGTCTAAGGAGGGAAGAATTTATCTAAGGCTAGCTAGGTATAGCATGTTTTTATATTCTAATAATAGTGGATATCCGACCCCTTTATCTAGTAAAGTCGGGTATCTTATCTCTTCCTCCCTTATCTACGATAAGGGCACCTTATCATCAGTAAGGTGCCTTTATGTCAGTGTCACACGACCATTAATTATTTAATCGACATTATAATAGTTAAGCTTTTTTTATTAAATAACCCATTAAAAACCTTTTTTATCGAATAATTTAAAACGTAAACGTAAGACTTAAACCGTTATTTATTACCATTAAACCGTTGAATAATAATTTAAAATATTATAAATTAACGAGATTTAAATTACGGAAAGTTATTACCGTTATTAATAAATTATTTAATATAATAATAAAGCTTAAAATAATACTTATATAATTGAAAAATATTAATAAAAAAAAGGTTGAATATTTTAAAAATCTTTTTCGGGCGTTATAAATAAAAGGCTTAATATATTTTAAAAAAAAAAACTAAAATATAATAACTGTAAAAACTTATTAAGCTTATATAATACTTATTATTAACAGTTAAATACGTTAATATCGTTAAAATAATAACAAAAAACTTATTTTTATATAAAATAACGCTTTAACTTATAAAACCGTAATTATAATCGAAAATATAAAAAAACGTAATATTAAAATACTTAATTAACCATTATATTCGCTAAACTTAAATCTAATAAAAACTATATAAAATTAAATAAAAAATTATATTAAAAATAAATATAACTTAAACGAAAAACTATTATATAATAAGTTACGTAAGTATATTATAAAGGTTTAAAAAGTTATGTTTAAATTATAATTATTTAAATTAATATTTAATATACCATAATAATATTAAAATATATACGACGTTAACGGTAGCTATACATAACATTAAATTTAATTTTTAAATAACTTTAAATCTTTTAAATCTTTTAAAAATAATAATTTTTTAAACCTTAATAATAACCCCATACAAATTTACACTAAACCATAACAGGCATCAAATATATTACATAATTAACGCAATACTTATAACAAAGGTTTTACTTACCCATATAACCATAGTATAGGGCTAATGCAGGTAATCGAAAGGGGAAGGGCAGGTTGAAACGATTTACTAGCATAACGACAGCAATAGGAAAGTAGGACTTGAGTACCTACCTAACCTACATAAGTGTGTACTTGCTCTAGTAAACTTAGCTACATGTCATTCCTTCTCTAAATGTTTCCTCTCTCCTAGCTTCAGCTCTACTTTATTCCCCTTTCCCTTTCCCTTCCTTCTTCTTCCTCTTCAACTTCCAATGCCCAGTTCTTCTTATACATAACAAGTTACGCGCACAATGACCTCTTCTGATCTCCAGCCTCCCCTCGATACCGCCCGACATATTCGTTACTGGCAGCGATGTTTCCGTTCTGTACTCCCTCATCACTACGTGAGCAACGATAGTATCCGTCTCACCCTCGGATTTTTCATAGTCGCCGCTCTCGACCTCCTATCCTCGCCTTCATCATACTCCGAACCCCCAAAGGATCCCGTGAAAGCCTCTCTTATAAGTCGAGAAGACCGTACTCGCCTAAGAGCCTGGGTTCTATCACTACAACATCCGCAAGGTGGTTTCTGCGGTTCACCTCACCACGTCCTACCAGCAAAGTATACCACTAAGTGGGATGCTATTAACAATGTCGAATTCGCATTGGACCCAGCCAATGCTAACATAGCTGCTACCTACTTTGCCCTTCTTCTGCTAGGTATTTTGGCCGAGGATGACGGCTCTAAAGCATTCGAGGGAGTAAACCGCATAAAAACTCTACGCTGGCTAAAAACGTTGCAAAGGGACGACGGAAGCTTTGGCGAAATTATTGACGAGGATGGGTATGTAGGGGGAGGAAGGGATATGCGGTATTGCTACCTGGCTGCTACCATAAGGTGGGCTCTTGCGGGAGCTGATACGGATAAGGACTTTAACGTCGATGCTCTTGTGGCGCACATACGACGAGGGCAAACTTTCGATGGTGGTCTAGGTGAGAGTTCGACACACGAGAGTCATGCTGGATATGTATACTGTGCTGTAGCGGCGCTATCCATTCTTGACCTCACTAACCCAAACGTGGCTACGGAACCGGACCGTTACCTTCGAGCCGGCATTCCCTCCATCCCGTCTTTAGTGCATTTCCTAGCTTGCCGCCAATTTGACTACCTTGAACCTGATTCCGACGACGAAAGTGACGAGTCTAAGAATCACCCATTACCTGATCTATCTACCTTAGCTATATCAGACGCACCTCAAATTGCTGGCTTTAATGGTCGCCTGAATAAGGTTGCCGATACGTGCTATACGTGGTGGGTCAGCGGTACGTTGTTTATGCTCGGCGAAAGCCAGGTTATCGATCGCGGTCCCGCGAGGAAGTTCATACTAGAGAAGACGCAACACATGATTGGCGGATTCGGTAAACATCCCGGTGCTCCTCCCGACGTGTACCACGGGTACTTAGGGCTCGCCGCCTTGGCAACGTTAGCCAATGCCGAAGGCGACGGAAAAAAGGAGGAAGGCATAGGGAGATTCGACCCGCGTCTATGCATAGGAATCGAAGCCTCTCAGAGGGTCACTAAGGCTAGGGAGGCATTACTAGCCTCTTCCGAGGAAGAAGATAACAGCGACGATGACTGGGCGCGTGAGACAGAAAAGATAAAAAAGGAACTCGACTGGGATAAGACCAGAGAAACTATTGCACGGCTAGAGGCTAAATGGAAGACTGAGGGCAAGATACCTATTCATGAGATGGATAAGTGGAATCCTTTCTACCCACCGAAGCTGGACGAACTGGACGCCTAAGCAGGCTAATGGGCCGAATCAGCATAACGAGAACAGAGGAATATATGGATTAACTAGATTAGAGGAGAGCTTAGAAGATGGTTTGTTGGAAGATAGTAGTGAGCCTGTCTGGCTGGGAAGTCAATTATGAATCAACTGACTGGTCAAAATATGTCCGTTCTAATAGGAGAATACCGCCAAATAAAATAAAGAGCGGTACCGAGCGTTTGCTTTAGGTAGTCTCAATAAAAAAACGATACCCTTCCCCTAATCACATCAGGAGTCTATTGTGGAAATCCGCGTGTAGTTTCGAAGACATAGAGTAAACTTGATATCTTGGCTAAATTGGCTATGCGGTCCTTAGACAAACTGCATAAATCCACACATGTACCTAAGGTACCTTAGGTAGCTATTGGACTGGAGCGCCCCACCAAATAAAGAGGTATCTCGCGATACCTTACGGTACCAAGATTACACATATACACAAAGGCGATAATCCCAACCCTCATTCATAATCATGCAACAGCTCTCCCCTTCATATACCCTCCCCCAACACTGCCAACCCCCGACAATCTCTCCACATCCAACACCAACGGCCCGCCCCCAGGCCCGCTAGCATCCAGACTAAGCGTGACGCGCGCCCTATCGGCAAGCACCCGCACCGTCTCGCCGAGGTTCCCAAGATCGGTCTCAAACTGTCCCGCCCTCGCACCCTCGGCGCCGGGCGTCGTGGCGCCCGCGTCCTCGTTGTCCCGTACCTCGCGGATGTCGACGCTCGGGTACGGGAGCCAGCCCTCGCGCAGCGGGATCAGGAGGATTGGGATCTCGGCTTCAGTGTCTGGGGTGCTTTCATAAGAGTTCGATTTGCTAGAGGAGGAGGGTGTTGGGATAACGAAGTGGCCCTTGCGCCGGCCGCCTAGTAGCCACGTATCCTGGGGCGCGGTAATCTCGTAGCTGAATTCGAGGTCGGTCTGCTCGGCCGGCGGCGTGTCTGTGTCCCAGACTCGCGTCCACTTTAGATGCAAGGCCGCGGGCAGCAGCTGGTTGGCGGAGATAGTTGGGCTTGATGGGTTAGAGGGGAGTGCTGGGGACGGTTGTGGAGATTCTTGGAGTCGGATATCAGTTGTGTGTACGATGGTTAAAGATGGTATGTCAACCGGGATAAGTATTGATCTAGGCTCGGCGAGAACCGAGGTTGTAAGACCTAGCTTTGGATTTTTGACTTGCCACGCACGTAGGAAAGATGTTAGAGTCTGCAAGCAGTCGGTACCGTCGGGTGCCTTACCCAGGCCGGTGAAGTATTTAGCCCAGCTGGTAGATGATAGGAACGCAGTGGAAACAGATCCGAGGAGAGCCGCACGCTCAAGCTCTTGTTCCGTAAGATGATGTCGGACATGTGGAATCACGACCGAGCATAGGAGCCGAGAGAATGGACGTAGCGATTTGTCTTTCAGGGATTCAGTTATCGACCTTTCAAATAGGGATTCGATCTCTTCTTGCAAGACGCTGTAATGAAGTCTAAGGTACATGGTCTTCTGAGTTGTCGGTGTAATCTTCACACCAATATTCCGGGTGATCTTGTATAAGATACTAGCTGGCTGTTTCGGAAAGATAACGACAGGCGCACCAGGCGGCACTCCGAATTCCGACGTAAAGACTTCCGAGCTAAGAAGCTCGCTCCTAAATAGACGTAGGGGACTGTGAGTCGCTGTTGACACGGTGAAGCGAGAGTAGAGAGCTTTATGCTTAAAGACATCTTGGACGTTGACCCCTAGAGCCAGGGCAGTTTCGATGGTAGGTGTTTTCGAAAAGAAGAATTTACCATTTTCAGTAGTATAAGACACATCGATGCGTATAGATATGTTAAGTGTCTCCTGCTCTACTGTGAACGGGAATCGGATTCGAACAATGTCGTTCTGCGATATCGAATCGAAATAAAACAATCCCCCCTCTGGTAGCTTAGAGAAGCTGATAGAAGAACTGATACACTTCGCTTCGCTGGTAAGTAGTCTTAAACCTCCCGTAGCCGCCTTAACTCGAACTTCCGCGTTTGTCAAATTATTCCAGCCGGGATCTAACTCGATGTCTACCGTATTGTTTCGATCTAATTGAACATGATTCGATGCGTGTAGCCGCACATCTAACGTGTCTGCTTGGTGATAAATGACGACGTGTGGGGAGTGGACAATATCGTTGTCCTTGTTTAGCGGTTGACCCGTCTCTCGTTCGTAATGAAGGCGCAAGTTGCTAGCTACAAGATCTATCTTATTGATCTCATAAGTCCCTGGGATCGTTGACTGTGATAGTTAGCGGAAAGCCGTAGCTAGATACTCACAGGAATAGACTCACATTACTCCTCAGTTTGAGCCTGTTCTTGCCAGGCTTTAACATTACTGGTTCTGAAAGCTCAAACCGTATTTCCTTTGACGATTTCCCGGCCGGACTAACCACCCGTACTTTCGCTGAGTCAACTTTGAAGTTATCCACCAGCAGGCTCATTACCTTCAAGTTGAGGGAGATGCTGTCTTGATCCTGATAATACTCAAGAGGGCCATCCACTTCCACAACCGAGAAGAAGCTGGACAGTGATATTTGTAATTCGTTCGATAGAGTTTTGGTCACTGCAAGTAGGTCGTCCAAGAATCCCTCAATAACGTCACTATCCGGATAATCAACATCATCCATATTTGGTATTCGAAATCCTGACTTCTGTGCTTGACGATCTCTCTCGGCGGCAGCGGCTTTCGTCAGGAGCTTCAGCATAACCTTGGCATACTCATCCTTTCGTTGGAGTTGCTTAAGACTTTTTGAGTACATAACTAACATAGACAGTTCGAGAAGGCTCCAGCCACTTTCTCCAAAAAAAGGGGTGGTCCTCCAAAAGTAAGAAGAAGCCGAGGCATAGTCGCCAAGATAGTATTTCAATACTGCTATATCTGCCATGCTTGCCTGCACCGAATGATGATAATCAGCGACGGTGTAATGCCGCAGGGCTTTATCAGTGAGTGTCTCATAAAGGCGGTAGAAGTCGTCACTATTGTCGAGGGCCGTCCTAAGAAGTTTACTATCAATGCCCCAAGGCGACACGGCAACATCTCTATCGGCCGGTACATCCTTATCCTCTGCTGCTGACCTTTCGTCGTCATCGTTGTCCCCAAGATCGATATCGACCATTTCAATCATGCTTGTCTGTCCTATGGCTGGTACGTCGGCCCAACCATCTTTCCACCCCCGTTTTTTCCCGCATTCAGAAAGAATATTTCTGGACAGGATATAGAGCTCTGCTCTCCTGGCAGCGAGCTCCTCTAGCCCGGCTTTGAGAAATGTGGACTGGCCGTGCTCGCCTATAGAACCCGGTGGATGTCCAGAGAAAATATTTGGACTTGGAGGCGGACGGCCTACATTGGCGGTACCGCTTATTCGTATAGATAAAGACGAGCCTCTAGCTGGATGCATCATTGTCTTAGGTTCCGGTATTGCTGATTTTGGCTCGTGGGAATCTGGAGAAGTCAAAGCAGATGTTGGTATTGGTAAAGCTTTGGTAGATGTCTGGGCTAAGATTTGTTGCGCGATAGAAAATGCAAAAGAAGCCACTAGATTATCAACCACCTCCGAAACTAGAGAATCTGGCTGAGAAGTTACTGTTGTCTCATCTCCGTCCTCCTTTCTTATGTCAGAAAGCGCAGCAAAGACATCATTCCTCATGACTTGTGAAAGCGTCGGGATGAATTCTAGCGTCCGTCGGCAGATCTCGCTAAGCATGGTTAAATCTTCATGTTCATTTTCCTTTTGTTTTGGGGGTGGTGCTCGAGGAGCAACGCCGTGTAAAACGGACTCTTGCTGTTCTTTGAGCTTTGCCAGCAGCTCTTCCCTGGTTGACCAGGCATTCCCAAGACGGAGGAGGAGAGAAATTTGCCTCGCGAAGATATAGCATCTGAAGTCGAAGACGGACACATTGTTGGCGACAATCATATCACGATACGGCTTCTTCGTAGAGCTGATTGGAATGTCATCGTATGCGTCCTTCGGCTGAGTAGCTTCGGCCTGGGAGGATTGCAAATCAACTAATTCATCTTCATCCTCATCCTCGACCCCAGCGACCGCCGCCCTGGCCTTGAGGGCGATCTGCTTCAGCTCTTCCGTGTAGCTTAACAGCGCATTTGTAGCGGAGCTGGATTCGGCCGACGTTTGGTCTTTGACAATCATATCGAGCCCCACGCTCAATTCATCGTATCCCACTAACGCATCCTCCACCAAGCCTACGCTTTCGAAGCCCCGAGCTAGTCCTTCCTTAAGAATAAAGAATGTGCAAAAGTTCCATCCAGGTAAAGTCCTCTGCGCGTCCTTCTCCCTAATATCCTCCTCGTACTGGCTAACACGTAGGTCAAAGCTGGACAGAATGAGACTGCGAAACTTGGATACGAGATCCGTCCAAGAATTCTCTGTCTCTTGTTCCGTTTCCGTATAACCGCTAGGTACGGCAGGTACTACGCGTGGAAGCAGATCATATGGGACATCGTTAACTCCAATACGAATTTGGGCGATCCGATCCACTGTTCCTTTGCTAGAAGTATTGAAGTCAGACCTCATCTTCTCCAGGATCGGGCTCGACCCGGGTCTCCATCTAGATGCGGTAGAGCTCTTCTCAGTTACGGATCCCGAGTCGCGGGGTTGGGTCGCAGCCACGGTATTTGGTATAACAACATGAACAATAAGCCATTCGAAGGCATCGTGGTTCTCGGCCGTGTTCCTCTTAGAGCTAGAGGAAGGTATATTCGTTTTAATCCAGTCACGTATCTCTTGTCTCACATGTCCCTTATAGGAATCATTATCGTCACATCGTACTAGAAACACCTTTAGATAAGGAGTCCTCCTTAACCCCGGTATCTGATGCCGTCGCACGGGTGTACTGTTCTGATTCGCACTCTGGTCGACAGCATCGGAGGAAGACGTCGCTCCGATCTGAGTCTGAAAGCCGTCATCACGGATAGCGATGCCATCTAGTTGTTGAGAAGGAGGAGGAGAGGAAAGAGGCGAAGTAATGGAGCTCTTGTCACCAGCTGGGACAAGGTCGACATGTAATGTGTCAATGGAACGAAGGGGTCCGGCATGGGATTGCCAATGGAGGTTACGCAGAGGGAGTCGAGGTACTAGCCCGGGTGCGAGAAGCTTAAAAACATCATAAGGATCGAAATACTCGACTATAAGAAATCAGCAAGGCCGGCGCATGGCTTAAGGGGGTCATGTACGAAAGCACCTGTGACTTTAGAGGTAGAGAATGGCTGTTCCATGGCGAACAGCTTTGAAGATCGCTCTTTATTTCATGGCTGGGGTGTCAATGGTATTTCCGTTTGTATACGAGTTAAGAGGATGGAGATGTGTAGAACGGCGTAGTATGAACAATTGTCTATGTATTTGTCTACATGTAGGTTAAGTAACTATTCGTGTTAACGTCGAGGCTGTCGCAAGTCGGCCATATCGATAGAGGTGTCTGAACCAAGAGGTACTAAGCTCCAGCATCACGCTAATGCATAACAAGGTTCAGGGGGTAAACCCCACCGAGGGCGGTGACAGCTACGGTGCCCAATTATTGGTTGATATTATGGAAATCTACAATTGGATTTGTACCTACCTATTTGTATATAATGTACCCCTATGTACATAGCGGGGTCCGGCAGAATTTTGAGGAAATATTTCGCCATATGGTTCTGATATATTCCGTACCTATGCGCCGGGGACAATTTCATAGCGATGGCGAAATCCTTAGGTCTCCTAGATGAGGTCTGTCGTAATATTTTACAAGCCAGTCTCATAAAGTTCAATAACGCAATCACATAGTTTTTCCACATAGAAATCATTCTCACGCAATTTCAACAAAACAAAACATTCGTCTCTATTAGAAAACATGTCGGGCCTCCAAGCCATTCGATACTCGCGGGGTAAACTTGAAGTGCTCGACCAGCTTAAATTACCCCACGAGCACCATTACGACCAGGTCTCGACGAGCGAGGAAGCATTCGACAGTATAAAATCTATGAGAGTTAGAGGTGCACCGGCTATTGCTATCGTAGCCGCTCTAGCACATGGAGTCGAACTGAACAATGGAAGTTGCGGTAAGTTATACTCACAGCCCTATCAATTCTACGGCAGTCAATGACGATCAATAACTAACCCGGAAATAGAGGCCTCGACTGCACACGAGACGATATCATACATCGACTCTCGCCTAGATTATCTTAAACAATCGCGCCCGACAGCCGTAGATCTTAGCAATGCAATTACCCACCTTAAGAACACAATCCGATCCGTGAATGTAGCCAGTAAGAAGGACGGTGTGACGGAACGTGAAACAATTATCGATGCGTATATAGCCGCCGCAGAAGAAATATTTCGAAAGGATACCGAGACCAACCTCTCCATCGGCAAGCACGGCAGCAAATGGTTGCTCGAGAATGCACCAACCAAGTCTTCCGATGGCAAAGTGTCAGTCCTAACACATTGCAATACGGGATCGCTCGCCACATCGGGCCACGGAACAGCACTCGGTATCATACGCTCGTTACACTCGGGCGGCCATCTACACCACGCCTTCTGCACCGAGACTCGGCCGTACAACCAAGGAAGCAGGTTGACCGCCTTCGAGCTAGTGTACGAGGGTATCCCTTCCACGTTGATTACTGACTCAATGGCGGGCGCCCTGTTCGCTACCAAGAAGACTGAGAACAATATTGCTGCCGTCATTGTAGGTGCAGACCGAGTCGTACGTAATGGAGATACGGCCAATAAGGTAGGGACTTACACGCTTGCTGTGCTCGCCAAATATCACGGTCTGAAATTTATCGTGGCGGCGCCGACGACGAGTATCGATTTGCAAACCGAGACAGGCGCAGGGATTAATATTGAGGAGCGAAAGCCGGAAGAGTTGACGCAAATCAGAGGAGCTGTAGTAGGGAAAGACGGAAGGGTAGACGTTAGTCGTACGGAACGTGTAGCGACCGCGCATCAAGGGATTGGTGTGTGGAATCCGGCATTTGATGTCACGCCGGCAGAGTTAATCGATGCCGTGGTCACGGAGCGTGGTGTTGTCGTGAAGGGAGCAGATGGAACCTTTGACTTCAAAGGTGTCATCCCCGAGATATGACCCATGGCAGTTTGAGAACAAGAATTAGCACCGAAGAGCACCATAGAGACATCAAAGAACCGACTTTTTTGCGGTGAGGAATTATGACCTTAGCGGTTCAGCGCAAGACATCTCCTCTCTTGGGTATCCTATGATGTTGTACGAATTGGCGGACATGAACAAATTAGAAAAGCTATGCTCAAATTTCCTCAATCCTCCAGACACAAACCGCTTAGCTTTCGAGAGCATGCAGGATGAGCTTCTTAAAATCCTCCACCGCCGTCTCCAAATCCCCAAGCTTGATCGCCTCGTCCGGGCTGTGCGCGACAAAAATAGTTCCTGGTCCATACAGATATCGTGTATGGTTGCCTTGCAAGTAGTGTACGTCCGTTCCATAGTTCACGGTGGTAGTTTCGAAGCCTATATTAAGAGTTAGACGGCCTGGAAAATAATAGTATTGTATAATTTCCATAGCTTACCCTCGACGTCGCAGTCGCACTTGACCACACCATAGCCGTTGTTACAGTCAAATTCAAACGCGTCTCTGTCGACGCTGCGCATAACCTCCTGCAGTCGCTGCGCCACGATTTTCTCGCCTCCATTCTCAGGACCGACGGCCACGCGGACCGCAAGCCGGGCTGTCGCCCTCTCCGCAATCACATTCGCAGCAACACCCCCCTCAAACAACCCGACGTTTACAGTTGTGTTACCAAACTCTTCGCTGCTACCCAGGTCCGTATCCAGTACACGTATCAAACCGCGCGCCAGCACCTCCGTCGCGCTCTTACCCAGCCACGGATATCCGCTGTGGCCCGCGTGCCCTTTCACTGTGATGTTGCAGCCAAATGTACCCTTGTGCCCACAAACAAGACGACCCTCAGTTGGCTCGCCAAAGATAGCCGCCTTAAAGTCGGGAGGAGGGCTCAATTGACTACGCGTGTCCGAAAAGAACCGCATCCCATCACCCGACGTCTCTTCGCCAATCACATACAAAAGCATAATAGAGCCCTCCTCGCCATCAATGCGACCAGATTCGAGCAAGGACAGGAGGGCAATGATCTGCGCAGCCACACTAGCTTTTGCGTCGACACTGCCGCGGCCGGCGATCACAGTCTCGGTGGTAGGGTCCGCATCGGTTCGTGAGTAGGGAATAAAGGGCGGGACAGTATCGATATGGCTAGAGACGAGCACCTTCGAGGATGGGTGTCTGTTGGGACCCGGCCAGGCGAGGACGTTGAAGCGGGGCTTGCCAGGATTAGAAGTATTAGTCGGTGGGAGGACTTCGAGCTGGACGACAAAGTCGCGCGCTGAGAGGTAATCGACCAGGAAGTTTCCGACCTCGTTCTCGTTACCGCTGATAGAAGAAATCTCTACGAGGGATTTGTGCAGAGAGACTAGATCGTCACGATAAGCCGGCGCATTGAAATCGGAAGCGGACGAAATGACCGAGCTTGGAACTTGAGCAGGCTTGATAGGTTTTTGAAGCTCGAGTCCTAAGACTTGGGAGCTACCAAGGAGCAAGATCGGAAAATGTAACCTCATTTCCGAATCTAAGGATTAAATCAAGGGAATACGCCAATTGAGTCGTTGTGAGTCCAGCAGCATTGACCGCATTGGCTATTCGAGAGATATTGAAGTTGGTAGGTTTCTGTTTAGTAACAGCTTCCGGTAAAGGCGTAGGTACCTAGGTACCTTGATGTTAGAGGAAACAGCCACAGAAACAGCCACATTTTGTCACGTCGTTCTACATTACATCCATACATGTAGGTACCTACATGTACCTATACGTGATAAATCCACCATTTCTACCCCTGCGGTGCCCTCATGTCCCTCGTAAACTCGGGCATTGCGATTCACGATGCCAAAACCACACTATACTTATAAGTAACGGCGTTTTAATACTCTACGATATAATTATAGTTTCTAAACTCCAGGATTCCGAACGTACTCCACCAAATACTAAAAAAGCCCGTGTAAGTATGAGCTTTTGTCTAGAACGTACATGGTCAATGTTTAAGGTATCAACGGCTCTATGGCATCAAGTGTTATACAATACGAATTATACTACCTCGAAGGATTTGCATGAAGGATTGCGAGTGCTAGCATAAACGGGTTATAGTACTGATCCAACTAATCATCTATATGTGTGTCCCACTCTGCGCCACGCCCGATGTAAGAATACAAGCGGGCAAGGAGCCTTCAAAAGCATCACTTAAGGTCCTATAAAATGATTGTTCGTATTAGTTATTGTATACCTTGGTCGAGTTGAGTGGCTTGTTGTAAGTTTATAGCGACATTGCCACTTAACTTGGCTTAAAAATACCCCTACATAGTTAGCATGAGAGGGTAGTATGCTATATAGGGGTAGGTAATTGGAAAGTCCGGAATCAAGGCCCGAGAACTCAACTTTAGTTCACATTATATCTCGAGTTATGTGCTAATCGTATGCCACAAATTACTCAATATAGTGTCATTCCTCGACAGCTAACCGTATCTAGGGTAGTAAGCATAGGTATAAACCGTACGATAGAATCAAATTCTATACTATAACTGCATTGATGGTGATACAAAAACAGACGAGGCGCGGTTAGTCATGCGGCCAAAGTTGCGTCTACACCGTCACGAAAGCGAGATCTCTAGGTTAGGCGATGAGCTGAACAGGGCTGAGCTAGCTGTGCCGCACTGGGCAATTTACGCATCGCTTACGGTGGATCACCATCGTTTCTATGGCCATTGAACAATGCTCGCTTACTCGTGTCAATGTGATATCGGAGGGACAATCTTAAAAAGACTTGGTTCTAAGGCTTCACCCAGTACGGCATCTCCTTGGAGTATACCTAGTCGGTGACCAGGAAAAGTATCTCACGATATGTCTTAGACCCGAAAGAGCCATTCAAGTTCCTACTAGGGCTTGAAAGTCTGCGTATAAAGACACTAGGGAGTCCGGCGCGTTCACGATGGCATCTCTTGTGAATCACGACAGTATCCCCCTTACCAAATCCATCGATCAGGGTTAAACTCACTCGCGTTCACAATGAAGTCTCTACTCCCAATGCTTTCCATGGCTATCGCCGTCAGCGCCATCCCCAACATTACCGTCGTTCCTAAGCAGCTTTCATGTAGCAACTGGCCCTTCTTTCGGCAGACATCCAGTGTTGCTGGCCCGTTCAACATCTTTGCTGACTCAACCGGCAATGACATTGACGGCAACAAAGCAAGCTATACCACAATCTCCGAGGCTACAATTGCCTCTGCTTGGGTATGAAGTCTTCGTTACATATCTAATTTTATTTGAAATACTAAACTATAAAACAGTTGGGCATAAGCAACACTAAGGACGTGGCAGTTCCTCAAATCCAATGCCAGGCGTTCGGCAGTGCAGAGATGTTAGCCGTAAGCTTGAACGGCCAGTTCCAGCCCCTCAGCATATCAGAGTACTCTTATCACGAATATGCCGGTTTGGTCTTCGCGAAGACCGTGACTCGGGGCGCTCCCATCGAACCTCACTGGCATTATTACCCTAACGGCACACGGCAGGACGGTACGTTTCTGGGGTGGAACAACTTCACGACGTGGGCGTACTTACTCGACGAAGCGTCTGAGAAGTACCGAATCCGCCTCTTGACGAACACGTCTCAGAAACTTTTAGACAAGGAGTTTACCGGCTTCGTACGAGCTGGCTTTCCAGGTCTATCCAACTAAATAGTTACTGCTCCTAGGGTTTCTAGCAAGCAAAGGCTTGGGCAGCGTAAGAAGCTGCCCTCTAATGTCTAGTTAATGTGTTTCCGCTTTTTCAAGCTAGCTATTTGATGTCATTTGAACACCAACTATGCATTAGACCTGTTGTAGTGACGGGCACTTATTCCAAACTAAAGTTACCTGACTACCCGTTGATATACCTACCTCCATATCAAATTGGTTTGAAGCGATGCTCTGCTAATGCCGGGAGTTAACATAATAGACGGCTCAGTAATTTCTCCTCATGCTAAAATCCTCTCATGACCTAATATTCATCTGCATTGTGGATTAAGTATATAGCTACCTGTGTATGAGCTACCGTGAGCTTATGGGCTTCTATGTAGAGATCCTTATCTACAAGTTAGGGGTTTCGTTCACAGAAAGCTTGCAGCAATTCGATTGCTGAGCTAATAAGTAGAATCCATCAAAATTTCTAGTACAAGACAACGAGAATTGCAAGCATTCCTGGACATACATCACCTGATTGATATATGGGTAATCTTTTTCCTCCGAAAATCGTACAGCGTACGCAATAGATACCAAAAATACAACAAGGCTGTACAGTCCGAGCCGCGCGTGTGCTGTTCACCGCTCAGCTGACAACCTAGAAAACAAAAATACCAAGATGGAGATCTAGGTATATAACAATACGGCCGGAAATCCCGTCAAAACAACAAGAACTCGCTCCGCTACAATGCGTTCATGCTATCACAGGGTATCATCAAGTCGTTATCCCCTATCACGCTCACCAGCTGTGACGGTTCCAACACTGGCACCAAAATCCGGTGCAGAATCTTTGGAGTCTGCCTCACCTTCATAAATTTCTTCTACTTTTTCTCCGGGGACTTGCAAAATGGGACTGAAATGCTCTACCTCCTCGACGTCGTCATCGGGTTCGACATCACGTATTGCTTCTTCGGCTTCTTCATCCTCTTCTTGGATGGTGATTTCGCCGCTCCTCCTCCCGAGTCCGCTCGCACTTGCGCTCCGGCTATGACTACTGGAGCTAGGACCAGCGCGCGATGAGTTGCCAATAGAGAGCATGGGGCCTTTGAATATATTTCGCTTGCGTTTCGCGAATAACACAGAGGGGCTATTTGATGTAAACGGATTAGGAGAACCGGGAGGATTTTGCGCCGACTTAGATGAAGGCATGCCCTCGTTAAAACTTAACGCAACTGTCGGTCCGCGGACGAGACGAATATTAGACGGAAACGATGTGCTAGTTGGCGTAGCAGGGAGAACTTTGACCGAATGATGCGGTGATCGTCCAGGTGTTCTCGTTGTCGACACGGATCCGGTAGAGCTTGTTGAACTAGCCTTAGAGTGCGAGTGGTGGTGATGAGGCATTGTTCGAATGGAGGATAGGGAGGAAGAAGTCGACTTTCGACCTCGAAGACCAATGGATGAGCGGCGCATCGTAGAGCGAGGTGTTAGCGGGCCCGGAGATAAGGATTGGCGTTTGTATGATGAGGTACTGGATGGTATACGATGCGATCCCTGGTTCGAAGACGTCGAAAGCGGAGTTGGCGTAGGCTTCTTCGCTGGGTTACCGTCGCTTCTCCCGATGCCTTTAACATTCCCGTTGGGTAGATTCGGCGAGTTCCCACCGCTCAAATCGGCAGTGCCTTGTAGAGAGGCGGGATACTTACTAGTGTGAGGTCGAGGACTAGGATCCTTGGGGTTCTTGCTGGCACCCGACTGGCCGTCTTTAGCAGCTAGGTTAGGAGTAGACATGCTCCCTCGCTTATTGGGCCTGTGCCGTCTTGTACTCTCAACAATCCAGTGTGTCCAATTTTTCCATGTAGCAACAATTGCCTGCGACGGCTTCCTGCGTACTTTTTGTGGCGGGTGAAGTTCTTGTGTTTGATGTCCCAATGCATCTGATGTGGTTACAAGGTGGAGGGTGGAGCCTCTAGATCTCGCACTCCGAAGGATGCCTTCTTTCGGTGGTGGTATCGGCCGTCGTTGTCGAGAGGAGCTAGCCGACCGCACAGAGTCCTTATCTACTGGCGGCGGCGGCGGCGTACCATCGTCAGCGTTCAGATGAGTGTTTATTTGAGACTCAGGCAAGTTGGGCAATTCCGGGACTTGGAAGTCGCTGTATGCAGTACTTCTCCTTTCTGGACGACCTCTCATCTTAGGTATGGGCGGTTCGCCTAGTATCCCGGAGCCATTGGGGTCTTCATCTAAAATCGGAGCCATGCGTTCGAGCTTGCTGGATGCTGCAGAAAATCGGCGCGAGTTTCTATTTTCAGCTTCCCTCTCTTTCCTTTTTCTCTCGCGCCGGCGAGCTTTCCTCTCCTCCTTTTCCAACAATAGTGTCCACCAACCAGCCAGCACGTCGCATCGTTGTGCTAGAACGCTTTCGATAACAGCATCAATATCCACGCCGGCACTTCGCATTCGCTGTAGACAATCTTTCTCTAGATGTGTAGTGAATGGCGGGGGCTGGTGTAGCTTAAGAATTGCTTGCTGCTGAGGAGCATACTCCGCGAGGAATACATGGGAAAGGATCTCGGGCAGGGTAGGTCTCAATAGAGGTCGTTTAGAGAGGAGAATCTTGATTAGGGCAACAGCGTCAGAAGGAAGATGCCCCGGGTACTTTGGCTCCTCCGTTAGGATCTTAGTTCTCGTTATATTATCGTCGTCGTCGTCGAACGGCAGCTCACCGCATAGCAGCGCATAAAGAATTACACCTAGGCTCCATACGTCTATTTTCTCACCGGCATATCTCTCCCCTTTCAACATCTCTGGCGCCGAGTAACATATCGTACCGCAGAATGTCTGTAAATAGTTGGATTTGCCCTCGTATTCGCGCGTAAACCCGAAGTCGACCAACTTGACGTTCTCGTGTTTGTCGAGCAAGATATTTTCGAGTTTAAGGTCGCGATGAACACATGACTGCTGGTGTACGTAGGTAACAGCACCAACTAGCTGTGTAAATATCCTTTGCACCTTTTCAGCGGGGAGAGGACCGTTGTTAAGGAGGTAATTGTAGAGCTCGTCGCCTAGATCAGGTCAATGATGATCTTGTCTCGTGGTATTGTGAATTGCGGCATACCTGGGCAGTACTCCAACACAAGCCATACCAAGGACTCTGTCACTATAATTTCGTACAGGCGCGCGATATGAGGATGAACAAACTGCCGGTGGTGATGGATCTCTCGGGCAAGGTTGGAATCATCCTTATTAGCTGACTTGAGGACGACCTGTTGCGATTAGGACCGATTCTAGGGGAGGGTCTAATAAAAGCTTGAAAAGCCTGGGCGTGACAAACCTTGGAGCCATTTGTAAGCCTATGGTTTGCGAGATAGACCTTTCCGAAGGAACCCTTCCCTATCAGCCTCCCTAAGGTGTAATTTCCAACATGTTTTAAATCTTTATTCGAAAACTCGCTATGAGAGACAGAAGATATCAGTACCTGACCCCATATGATTTACGCGGAGGAAAGTCGGACTTGAACTTACTCGAGTAACTCCTGATACGAATTGGCGAGCTGTAGATATGCAAAGTACCGTCAGCAATTAAGCATATAAAAGGAACGAGAGGTATACACCAGTTTTAACTAACCTTTGCTTTCCGCCCCAGCGCCTCGGCCTTGGCTTTATTTGTCTGCATGACACTCTACAGACACTCTACAACCTATCTTCAGCACCGCCCACTCCCTCCAGGGCACCGAGTGTTGTGTATTAACGTTTCAACAAATATCGTAGATGCGGTAAGGCGTTTGTTGACTAGATTGGGACAGCGGATTACGCCTCGGGGATGGCGATTGGCGCCTAACCAAATGCAATGGAGCATGAATAAAATAGCTGGTTATACTGAAAGATAGCACGGCGGTAGCTGTTTCGACCTAGCTGCGGTACGGGTAGGGCAGACGGGTTCAATGGCCACAAAGACGTGGGCTTTGGGCGATTATGCAGGGACCTTGTCTCTCGGTCTTCGTGTTAACATGTCTCGCGTCACGGTGATGTTTTAGTCTACAAAGCGTCGAAAGCAATACTGTTGAATAAAGTGGTTCGGCTCGCAGACGATAAGCTCGGGAAAGGTTCTAAGCCGGGCGTAATGGGCAGAAATGACACTCTTCCCGATGTGGTGGTGTATATTTGATGTTACGCAAAGCAATATGTTTCTGACTGCTACAAATTAATTACAACCAAAGTCGGGAGAAGTTTCTAATCCTCTTCTGAAAGCCATGGCAGGTACGAGCAAGGATCGCCATTGCCCGGGGCTGCCCGAGCTTCGACAGCTGACATTACTATTGCGCGGTGGTCTCATGCAGGGATCCGCAAGCAGAGCAAGGGAAACCACGAGGGTAATAGCGGCCCTAGCGGCCCCTTAAATAACCTTATCGATACTGCCTGTCACCTATTTGATTTCCATTGCTTTGTAGTTACATGTACCTAGCGGCCAACAGTTCATTGGAGCTGAGTGTAGGTAGCCTACAAACCCCTATTCTTCTATTCTAGCTCACATACAAAACACATAACAAAGTACCTAACCTTACCTAGCCTAACCTAACCTGACCTACATAGGTACCTAGGTACCTAAACTACAGGTAAAATCCATTCAATTCACTTACTATGTAAGGTATGTATTAACTATACCTTACAAGACTATAACGTCAATGATTACCATCTCAAATATTCAGAAACACTTCTCCCCCAACGTACCCCTCCTTTGTACATCCACATTCCAGGAGCATTACCGCTCCTCAACCCATCGATAGCATCAGCAAGATCTGGTCCAAGCCCCTCTTCCTTAATCTCTTTGATAGGGTACAAGTACGTTTTAAAGGAGAAAAGTATCGCTCGCGTCTTGGGCATCCGTGTCAACGTTTGTAACTCCATTCTTACCCGAGTCTGCCAGCCATCAGTGCTTGTTCAATGCATGTTCACTTTTGCATCGCAATTCTCACCTCTTCGATATCTACTTCCATATCTTCTTCGACTTGGTCTCCTTCATTGACGTGATTGCCGGCAACATTGAATAACTCAGGATTAGTTGTTATTGACCACTGAAACTTCATATTAGTGAAAATAGGGTTATGTATACAACTCTTCAATTTGCAGATAACTCACGTTGACCCGGCAAGCGCTTTTACCAACTTCCAGGCGGCTAAAATATCTTTCCATACTCAGACCGATCTTTTCGTATGACGGAACTGGTTGATGTATGTCCTTCAGTAGCTTTCCCATCTTGGTGGCCGGATCAAAGCCACTCGGGCAACAACATACAAAGCCAACACATTCATGCCCATCTGGCGTCTCGCGTAGAAAGAACATATCATCTTCAACGGTTTCACCAAGGCTCCGCAACGCAATTATTGGGTCGTCGGGGGGTAGAAGCGGAAGAGAAACACCAGTAACTCGATTGCGGAAAAGTTTTTCATCCCGTCCGAAGAGCGTTGGATATCTAATTAAGAGGTACTCTAAAAGATATGAATATGCCTCCTTCACAGCCTGAACACCAGAAGGCAGACAACCCAGCGTGTGATTTTGATGTTTAGTCATTATGAGTCGTCGCTCTTGTATGCGGGACAAATAATTACGATCAATAATTATGAGATCTGACGGAGACGTTGACTTCAGTGCTATATAGGGCAGCACTGTCATGAGCTTGCTATGAAATGACTGCATTGGGTGGTTTGAAGAATTCTTCACGTACCCATCGTTATATGGTAGATCGGCTTGAATGGGCGAAACTTCTGTGGCTCTGTTGTCTCCCAATCGAACTTGTCAAGAGGTTTGACATCAAGCCCAGGTTGGCAAATTTTGCCATCCTTTTTATGAGACAATTGGTCAATTTGCTGTGTCGCTTGATCAGTATTTGTACGTTTTTATAGTGAATGTCACGACGAGGCTTGCCTTTTTGGTATGATGATGCCATATTTTTATGAGAATGATGGATAAACTTAGCAAAGCTAATGAAACGAAAAATGACGACGTGTTGTATAGCATAGTGTTAAGACATGTCTATATTGTCATAATAATCCTCATGTGTTACATTACCAATATGTAGGTAGATACCTACCTATAAGTCGAAACACCCTTACTGGGGCCACCCTAGTGGGGGCCACCCATTTCCCATACAAAATCAACGATTTCGCATATTTATATTTAATTCAA